GAAACCAAGAAAGATCAGAAACTCTATTTTTCACGTATTTTTGTTGTTGCCTTTGTGTTGTCACTATAACTTCATTTTCCCCCTGAAAAAACACTCCATTTGATATATCAAAAAGCTTCAGATGTGTGAGCCCGTTCCACCAAAACTCACCATGAGTTCAAAGACTCTTTTTAATGACTGAAAGGGTTACCAGTGTCACTCACATGTTTTCGTGAATGGCTTTCATGGTTTTAGCTGCAAGGCCCATGTTCCTTAACACCTCAGTGTTGGTATGCAAGTTCTCCAGGGCTTCTCTCTGGAACTCGATGGTGGAAAGGGTCCCATCGATCTGCGTGAGCTGCTTCTCAAACCTCTTCTTCCTTTTCAGGGCCTGCAGTGCAGCTGCAAAAGGAAGTTATCACATTTGTAAGGCGGGATGTTGAAACACTCGAGAGACACTGGCTCAGAGCAACCACAAACCCAGAGCTGCTGAACCTGAGGACGCAGAGGACACCTGCCCTCACCATTGCTACACTCCTACCACTCTCTCAGACATTTTTTTTATTATTATTCTAAAGATCTGGCAAATGTAAAAGGATAAAAAGTAACTTAGCCCATTCCAAAAACATGTCACAGAAATGACACATTCAGCACTGGATTTTACAAAAGGATCAATAGAATATGCGTGAAAGTCATGCAGTAGAAAACAAGCCTGTAAAGAAGGAAAAGAGTTGGATGGGTGTAGATTTTGCTCTACTTACTGAAAGGCAAGTTCAATGAAATCCAGGGAAAGGAAGTGACTTCCTTGCTGGTGGTGGCTGGAACCAGAACCTAGAAATCTGAGCTGCAGGACTTGATCTAAAATAATTACGAGGAGGCTATGAGGGTTGCAGCCAACCACAAACGTTCATGAAATCTATGCAGACAAAATCATGTTCAGGACTCAGTGGAACACTACTGAGAAAAAACATCTATCACTTTTAGAGAAACAATATCTAAGTAAGCCTCCCATGTATCCTTTACTTGCTTCATTCTGGAACTACAAAACTGAGGCCTCCTGGCTGTGGGTTCCTTGGAAGACACACACATAACCAATAAGTTCTGATGTCCACTTCCGTACAACATAGGAAGTATAAGAAAAGAGCAGTCCAAGAATATTCCAACACAGACAAATGATCACTAAATGGACAAAAGTTGCCAAGCCCAAGATTAAAGCCTTGAACGCCAAGCACCCCGCAGCCACAAGCTCATCTCTGGCCCACTCCTACTCCGTGGTCTGCATCTTGTCTTCCTTCTTTCATATAAAGAAGTCCTGCTGTTACTCCTGGGTGTCCTGCTCAGTACTTTGTTTAGGACATCAAGAACCTGGGCAACACTATTCCAACACTATTTCTATTCCTGGAAACAGTGTAAGAGATTTCTCAAGGCTCAACTACTTTCCTACAAATATATCAAGTTTATCACTTTTTTAATAATGTATTTGGCAATCCTCCTGCTTTTAGCCTCCCCAGCACTGGGATTACAGGCATGCTCCACCATGCCCAGACTCTGGCCAGCTCAGCCCATCCTGGGGCAAGGCTGGTGTAGCATGTGGTACCAGGGTTAGAAACATGGTCCCCATGCTTTGCCTCAGCTTGCCTAAGCAGACACTTTAGTCTGATGAGCTATCTCACTAGCCCAAGTTTATCATTCTTTATAGCAGAGTAGTATTCCACTGTGTATAATAAATACCATAATTTCTTTTTTCATTCATCTGTTACAGGCATATAGGCTGATTTCAAGGTTTAGTTGTTATAAACTGTGCTGCAAAAAACGTAAGTTTACATGTCACTGTAATATGATGAGTTTAATTCTTGGGAAGATGCCTAGAAAAAGAATAGCTGGATCAAGTGGAATTTCTATTTTTTTAATAATCTCCATACTGATGTCCACAGTGCTTGTACTAGTTTAGATTCCTACCAACAAAGTAAAAGGTTTCCCTTTACACAGCCTCAAGAGCATTTATTATTTGATTCATTGATGATGGCCTTTCTTTCTGGAGTACAACAGTATCTCACTGTTGTGAAATAAATCAATATACAGGATTTAATATTGCATGATTTCTCTTACATGTGAAATTTCAAATATAAATATAATAAAAGATACACAGTAGGAATAATGGGAAGCAGGGATATTTTCCTCCAATGGGATAGGGAACAAGAGACTGAAGGGAGAAGGGGCAAAGGGAATGGAAAAATATCAAAAGAATGGAAACACTGCTTCTGCAGAGAGGATGGGGACCAGGAGTTGAAAGGAACCGAGAGGGACGGGAAGGGTAGGAGATGAAAACAGGAACTGAGCTGTGTTATGTACATGTAGCAACTCCACATATTAAGGGCAATCAATGCGTACTGAAAACGTAGTAATGAGCAAATAAAATCCAACTCCACTCTTAAAAAAAAAAATGCCTGACAGAAGTCTACTATTTATCTCTGTTTAGGTCATTTTCTTATAACTACAACAGAACTTTATGGAGGCAGGAGGTTATTTATTCTATTCTGTCTTTTTTTTTAATTTTTTTTCATTGATCTGAGAAGATTCATAAGCACTACATTTTCTTGGTGAATTATATTAGTAATCAGTACAACACTCTTTCTTCCTTTTCCGGTTATATGAGCGTCAGCAATCATCGTGAGTGACACTGGAACTATCCAGACCACCAAGTGCAGGAGCAAATGACTACGTCAGAGGAAACACCCAAGAAGGCAACAGAAATTTGGGCAGGAGTGGCCTAGCTTAAACATCACACCAGAGGTGGTCTTTGTTTTTCACTCAGAACCCATTTTGGTGGTGGCAAACCAACTGGCTTTAGCATGATTGATTTATGAATCATTGGATTATACAAAGAAAAATGAAGCCATGAGAAGGAAAATATCACAAGAAAAACCTTCAGAGGAACAGCAGAGCAGAATGCAGAAAGTTGGGGAGCTGCAAAGGCCAGTGTTGGTGCCAGGAAAGAGGCAGAAGGAATAAAGATTCTGCCACAACTTTATCTGTGGTGACAATAAGAACATTTCATGAGACGATGAATAAACTGTGAAAAGCTTTTTAAATATCAGTATTCAGTATTACCCTCTGGGGGTCAACGAGATAGCTCAGCAGATAAAGCGCCTGCTTAGGCAAGAACAGGGACTGCGGTTCAATTCCTGGCACCACATGCTGTGCCAGCCCTGCCCCCAGGGCAGGATGAGCCAGCCAGAGTCCAGGCATGGTGGCGTGGCCTGTGATCTCAGTGCTGGGGAGGCTGAAAGCAGGAGGATCACCAGGAGTCTGAGCTGTGTAGCGAGACCCTGCAACAACCAAACACTATATATATATATATACCTGCAACAACCAAACACTATATATATATATACCCTCTGTCTCATTTTGCCTTTTTCCCTTAAATTCCATTTTGTTTTGCACTAATGTTTTTACCTTCTTCTGGTTATCATTTGTCTGTGACAATTTTTATCTGGACCTTGAAATCAAAATTGTTCATCATTTTCATTTTGAGGATGCCTATTACAAAGACCATATACTTGAATATTTACCTAGTGAAAAAGTTTATGACCTACATAGACAATCCCAATGTTTTAAGACAAATTTTAACTCGGTTACAATTAGTGTACAGTTGTTCTCTAATGTGGCCTTTTACCATCATCTTCTGTGTGCATTCTGTTTATTACACTTTATATCATTTTGTCTTCCGGTTCTCATGTAGATCAATTATCTGTTCATGTTTTCCCTTTGTCTGTCATTACCCTTCTTTTTCCTCTTTTCTGTGTTTTGAAATCCCAAAACAATGGATATTGATTTCTTTTTCTTTTCTTTTTTGTATTTTTTATTACAGAGTCTACAGGGTCTCACTACATAGATTGGACTCGTAGTGATCCTCCTGTTTTCAGCCTCCCAAACGCTGGGATTACAGGCGTGCTCCACCACACCCAGTCTCAATTGCCATCCCAGGGGCGGGGCCGGCACAGCAGGCTGGGAATCGAACCTGGCTGCTGTGCTCTGCCTAAGCAGGTGCTTTAGTGTGCTGAGCTATCTGGCCAGCTCAGATATTGACTTCTTTAGCTCTGCTCTCTAATCTATTAATTTATGCTTCCATCTTTTTGATATATGTTCTAGGAACATTTCTTACAGATCATTTACTTAACTTTCAACTGTGGAGGACCACCTGGGCGACTCCCTTGAAAGAGGAACCATTACCCGATTTTGGATGAGCCTGATCCCATTTCCGTGTACAGAGCTGGCTAGGACTTTCCAAATGGCTTTAAGCACTGGACACTGGTCTAGCTGAGGCACTGGTGGTAGTCTTTGGGGACGGCAGGTATGTTCCTGTGGAATCCCCACCCACTGCTCCCTTGAGATGAGATGGGATGAAGAGCCAGCACTCCACACTGTTGGCTGGAATCAGCCTCAAGATAGAGGCTAAGACTTCCTGGGCCGGAAAGATTGCGCATCAGAGCTGAAGCACTAACCCCAAAACATTAGATACCACCTCAGGAGTGTATTGTAGATTACTCTCTCATGTCCTTCTCTCTGCATATTGCAGAGGTGAATGCAGGCCTCCTACCCAGGCCAGCTCCAGAACTTACCTACTTTCTGCCATTCTCACAGTTGCACATCCTCAAACAACTCCTTTTTTCATGAATGAATGAAACCCAGGTTCGGCCTTGGGCCAAAGCCTTTGTTCCAAACAGCCCTGACCACAGCTGGACTTGGGGCCCCTGTGCTCCCCAGAACTGCAGATATACCTTGGCGCATGTATTCTTTTTTTTTTTTCTCAAATAGGAAGAAATTTATTTTTTTTAATTCAAGCTATCTCATTGTCACATTACCAAAAATGTAAGCTTGTGTTGATCTTAGCAGATCTTCTCAGTATCTCACCAACATTCCCTTGTTCTTGCTTTTTTTGTTTGTTTGTTTGGTTGTTTTTTTGTTTGTTTGTTTGTTTGTTTTTTGGTAGGACAGTTTCAATAATTAACACATTGCATACATTCTTCCTAGTGGTTAATTGCTGTACAAGATGCAGAGCCTGTATTCTTGCCATGGGTTGCACTAGGTGTGGTAGGTTGGAATTAACTCGATGGGATTCCAATAACATATCCATGGGATTACAAATATAAACTTCTCGGGAGCCAGCAGATAGCACAGCAGACTAAGTGCCTGCTTAGGCAAGCTCAGGGACAGGGGTTCCATCCCATCCCAGCATCACATGCCATGCCAGCCCCATGCTGGGCACACTGAGCTGGCCACTGAGTCTGGGCATGATGGTGCACACCTGTAATTCCAGCAGTGGGGAAGCTGAAAAAGGGAGCATCACCACGAGTCTGAGCTGCATAGTGAGGCCTTGTACCAAATACATAAAATAATAG